TGCACACGAAGAACTGCATCCTCTTGGTTCCTTTGTACGTGGAAAATCACGTCACCTTTAAACTAGGTGAGAATGCTTTTAGAAGCGCATTGAAAATGTAACTGTTAGTACGTATGAAAGGTTCTGAAAGGTTCCTTCAAAGAGCAGGTTTTACGTTGGGAATTTTACAGATGTTAAAATGTTTTCTTATCATGAAAACTGCTTTCTGCCCTCTGGGGAGAGATTTTTCAGGTTTGCAGTTAGAAAACAGTTGCTAGGAACGATCATTGCAGGAAATGTGAAATAGCCTCTGTCTCTCTTAGTTCTTGAAGTTCTTTTTCTCCTTCAGGGCACTGCAGGAGAGCTATCTAACAAGCTCAGGTAACTCCCACTGCAGCACCCCTAGTGAACCTTCCAGTTTTGAAAAAGACTTGCAGCTTGCCATGGAGCTGTCTGTCCGGGAGCAGGAGGAACGGGAGAAGCAACGTCGTGAAGAGGAAGATGCGGAGCTCCAGCAAGTTTTACAGCTTTCTCTTGTGGAAAAATAAAACCTTAAGCCATCTCCTGAAATAAGGGTGACCAAATCTGCCTAGAACTGAAGGCTTTCAGAGCTATCAGTCTGAAGACCACTCCTGGATTGCTTAAGTAAACATTTCACCTGCCTACTAAGTTGGCATCATCAGCTACAAAAAGCTGGTTTATTTTTGTTTGAGGGAGTTTCAGATCATGGGACTCTGCGTTTGGCTCCCCAACCGTGCAGTCTTAGCTTTGAAGGGAAAGTTTTTATCAAAACGTATTTATTGAAGAGCAGATGGAAATTTTGCTTAGCATCGGGAGGTAGGATTGCAGCAAAGCTTGAAAATCTGATTTATGGGGAGTTCAGGAGGGAAACTTCATTACTTACCAAAGAATATTCACCTGCTTAGTCATTTCTGAATAATTCAAAGCCATTGTCTGTTTCTTCCAGGTGTTACATGGAAGAGCATCTACACGCATATCCACACATAGGGTAGTTCTTCATGCTGACAGAGGTTTTCTCTTAGTTTTGTTTATATGTGATTATCTTTTCTCTAGTTACTGAGATTTTATCATGTGCTCCTGCTTAAGAGGGATAATTTTATACTTGAACAGCTAATCCAAGCTCAAGATTAAACTCGTGCTTTCTGAAAAAGGACAAAACAAGTAGCCAGTAAAATTTTAGATCCTAAAATGGGACCATCTGTCTCATAAAGTAGCAGTTTCTGCAGTGATTCAAAACCAGCTAGTTCCTGTAGTCAGAGGGCGGCAAGAAAATTAGGGATAGATACAGGTGCTTCTTTGAGATCACTGGGTGTGTGTGCATGAGTGCGTGCCTGGGTGTGGGTGCTAAATTCAAACAGGAGAAAAATTCAGGTGAAATTTTAACGTATGCTTATTGGAAGATGAGTTTTAATTCTGTCATCTGAAAGGGAAACGCATGTTGCTTTTTAAAATTCAGATGCTCATCCCTCATGTGAATACGTATATTTTTTTATCTGAGTGTTTTTATTGATTTTAAAACAAGCCAATAATGACTACACTCATAAAAATGGTATTGTAACAATTCGCAAGTATGTTTTAACCAGCTTTCCTCAGGTCTTTCGTCATACAGTATATTTGTAGCTATTTTATCTGCACTTCTGTCAGTGTTTACAGTACTTGCACTGTGACTCTCAAGTGCACTCCACAAGTACACGATGTACATCCACGGGAAGGCCTTAGGGTAGTTAAATGTGAGCAATATTCCTCTGTTCTGGCTGGCGGAAGTGTGACGAACCTATGGTACAAATGGTCTGATCTTGCTCCTGCGCTTGTCCTTGGGTGAAACAGGGCGGTTCTGGGTGACCAACTATTAACCAGTATAAAATCCACTATAAACCGGACTTGATCGTAACCAGTGAGGTGGTTGGTAACTTGGAACCCTATTTTAAACCAATAATCCATTGTTTTACGTAGCAAATGGTTAAAATGCCTTCAGCGTACACTAGAACTGGTATATCTGCACCGTTTCTGTTTAATGATCCAGCTTGCATCCCGAAATAGCTTCTTTGGTGTTTGCAGGAGTGCGGGCTTTCTTGCACAGTGGCAGCGGTCTGTGTTGGAATTGCATCTTTCTTTGAAAACGGGATTACTGTGACTTTCACAGTTGAAAAAAAAAAGGGAATAAGCCTCGCATTGAGCTCTTGACAAGGTTGTGAGGTGGGAGATGAAACTGTGGGGGTTTTTTTTCCTCCAGTGGAAATAAAGAGTGCTGTTGCCTTTATAAACCTGTCTGCCTGACATTGCTTTTGTTCTGTTAAGCATTCCAAAGGTTACCGGGGGGGCAAATTATCTTTTTTTTTTTTTTTTCAAGCTGACTTGTTCCCTTTTTTATATTGTAAACTAAAGAATACTGGGCAGTTTCAGTTCAAGTTTTGTTACGCTCCTGCTTCTTGTCCTAGGACTGTAAAAAAAATTGGGGTGTGGTTTGGGTTTGGTTTTTTTTTTTTATTGCTTTCTGTAACACTTGCATCGTTCCATCTAACCTCGAGGGCTCTGCTTCCCTGGAGCAGGTGCTGCTTTTCTTAAACCCTAGCTTACATCTTACACGGGATGTGTCAAAATCATCCTCTGTGTGCTGGAAGAAAAACCAAAGATACTGCACAGTGCTACAGTACACCCGTGAGTATTTTTTTTTTTTAACATTGTAGTTGGAGTCTTTTAAAATAATTATCTACCGCCTTGTTGTGTTTTTGTACAATAGTGATGTTATAATCAATGAAACTATCACGGATAGTTCTGGTTTAGCCTGAAACGGACACTTAATCCCTGGAAACATTTTTCTGATGTTTTCAGCCAACTTTTGGGTCTCCCCATTTTGAAAGCAGGGATCAGTTCATCACAGCCAGTTGAGGGGCAGTGTGCGGGCCGGACTTCAGCACTTCCCGCACAGAGCTTTTTGTGAGGGACAGAGATCAGCAGAGGGTCGCACGCTGTGTTTAATATTAATTCTGAGACTGCTGGATGAAAGCTGAGTCTGGCTTCTCTTTCCATGGAAGCTTGAGGCTTACGTAGAAAAAGAGAAGCTCAGAGTTACAAATACCTGCAGTTTGTTCTAAATCTCTAACTAGCTTTGAGAGTTCTTTAAACTGGTGCTATTTCCAGAGCGTCAGTGATGCTGATCCTGAAAGAGAGACCCAGGGTGTACTTTTTTTGTGCTTTTGGACTGTTTCAATGTGCAATTAATTCATGATGTGCTTAATCTGGAAATCCTTATTAAGCTTCTTTTGCCTGACTTCTGATTCAAAGCAGTCCTCATAACTGAGTTAATGGAACTTTAGCTGCTAATGTCTGCTGGTGACTGCGCTACACGTGCGGGATGAGCTTTTATTGTCAGGTTATTGTTAACAGTTCCTTGCTAACAGCCCCAGAAACCGGGGCTTCACCCCACTGCCCTGCCCCTTCCCTCGCCCTTGGGGTAAGAACCAAGATCCCTGGAGGTGGGCAACGGGTCCACCTCATCCCTCCGTCCAGCTCCTGCCGTGGTAATAACAAACAGAACGTGAATGAGCCGCAGGAGTCCTGGATTGTTGACTTAGCTTTTTATTTGTACAGAGAGACAGAGCAGGGAGAATGAACGTAAACAGGAACGCTGCTGCGGGGAAGGCGGAGCTGTGGCTGCCAGCTCGACCCAACAGCTACAGACCCAGCTTCGCATCAGGTGAGAGAAATCAGTGATACAGGATTTGGGGATGAAAAAAAAAAAGGCTCAGAAAGCAATAGAACAGTGTTACCTTGCTTCATGTTTCACTTAGATTAGGGATTGGGTCTGTTATAGTCAGCCTCCTCCTGTCATTATAACAGCAGCAAAGAAAATCCCCCATTGCAATGAGAGTGGTCAGTGTCTTTTAAAGCAAACTGAACAGAAAACAGGTCAGATGCAGCACAAGGTTTTAGACAACCGGTCAACACAGTCATTCTGGAGGTTAAAGTTTTAAAACATTAAATAAATTACTAGCCAAAACACCCCTATGTTAAATACTGAAGTAATAATAAGCTAAATCCAGTTACTACTCGTAGCAGTGCAAACCAACATAGCAGCATTCATACGCAAGTGTGATTTCAGTGTAAACACTTGAATTCATCACTGAAAACGCACAGAACGGGGCTGGCTGGGGCTTAAACACGCAGTTCTCCCCCAAAACCCGAGCCCGGAGGCCTCGAGCGCCCGCCTGGCTCGCAGCCTTCCCCCGGCTCCCCTTTCCCAGGGACCTGCTGGGGAGCACAAACCCACCCCCGGGGGCTGAGCGTGAGCCACAGACCCCCCGTCCCCAGCCCCCGAGGGTTCAGCATCGCCTGGTCTGGTGCGAGGCTCTCGGCGGCCGCTCTGAAGAGTTAAAGCGAAGGCCGGGAGGGAGAAGCGGGGCACCAGGACCGGGCTGAGCTTTGCTGGGAGCCACCGCGGGCTGCTGCGCTTTGGCCTTGGGATTATTTCTGGAGGCTGCGCTCGGCCCCTCACGGCTCGACGTTCAAGGGACAGAATTCCTCACAAAGCAGAGATGTGGTGTCGTCCAGCGCGGGGGGCGGCTCCTCGGGTGCGATGCTGACAGTCTGGCCGCGTTCTCCTGCCCCCCCGGGGAACGGAGCAGTCCCCGCAGCGCCCCCCCGAGGCTCCGGGGGCACCCCCCGACCCAGGGC